CTGCCTGCAGGGGGCGACAGTCCATTGAAATGAGCCGGCAGCAGCCCTCCTGCAGACACAGCCGGTCAGTCAGAACCAGACCAGAACCAACACACAGCTGGACACACACATCATACTTTAATGATCCACAAAGGAAGGACGTTTGTAGCAAATAATAATAACAAAACAAAACAATAATAAAACAATAAAAAACAGTAGAAAACAAGAAAATCCTGCATATATATTAATTGTGGTGTACCACAGGGATCTACACTGGGATATCTACCTTTTTTATGTAAGTTAATGATTTTACTATGATTTAGATTAGATTCTTATTTTATATTAGAGAGCTGTTACAGTCATAACACAAACCCAATTTATAGTTAAACTTATTGAAATTGATAGAGAACAATGTTTTAAACTTTATGTAGGAAGATCATAAAACTTAAACAATATTCAAAACAGATTTATTTGTATAGAGAAGTTAAGTACCTGAACCAATGACCACCTGGACCACGGAGGAGTCCTGGTCCGGAGGAGACCCGAGAGGAACGCAGTCCAGACACTCCAGCAGCCTCTGGGCCTGGACGTACTCTGAAACAGAGCCAGCATCACACCAGAACCACCCAGGACAGTCCGGACCCCAGCCAGAACGGACCAGCACCTTTATCTAGCGCCGTCTTCCTCTGCAGGGCCTGCTTCAAGTGGTCCAGGTACTGGAAGACCCCGGTGAAGACCCGCTCCACGTCCTTCTCCGCCCAGAAGCTTTTCGCCCTCTCTGAAGAACCGAGACCAGCAGTTAGCTGCAGAACAGACACTGCGCCCTCTGCTGCTAGCATGTGGGAAGGTGTGAATACGTTCAGAAATGAAATGTTCAGGTTTTTTTTTGATTAAATAAATAAGACACAGAAATAGATAGAACTCTAAAATAAGGTTCAGATTGCCCTGAAGAACTGCGGCTGACTTGCCCTGACCAATATGGCGGCTATAAGCATCATTCAGACCGGAATCTGTAGTTAGAAATCAGAGTTCTAACAGACAAAAATGAATTTTTGTCTAGTTTAAACCATCTAGCTGCCCAGTGTGACCAGTTATCTCCCAGTTTCAGGGGCTTCAGGGGGCTCCACAGTCTTACCCACATCCCGTGGATCCAACACGTCCCCCATGTCCACAGACAGCGAGTAGCGCTAAGCTAGCTCCAGTTGAGAACACAAAGACCGAGTTTGTGCTGGTACCGATCCACTCTGACTCAGAGCGCTAACGGCTGATTCAGAGCTAAACCTAAATCATAGCATTAACCGGAAATCAGCCCCGCAGTTACCGGAAAAACGGTTTAAACACCAGATTAGATCCAATTTAACGACAAACCAACACAATCTGCAGAATGGTTTATGCCTGGAAGCTTCTTGGTTCAAGCGGGCCGCCGTACAAAGAGTGGTTGTATTCCCTTAGTTTTGTCTGACAGGTATAGTTTTATATTTAAAATACATTTGGCGAAATTTGCAGTAAATTTAAAAACTATCCACCACGAATATAAAATATTGATCGACTTGATAAATGTCTGTGATTTGTGAAACTATTTCAGTCAATTTCAAAATAAAAATAAATGTTCGTGCCTGCACGGCAAAACTCGGGGCATTATTTATGTAATGACCCTCGCGGTACCCGTACTGCTACTTTGTTTACTAAATGACAACGATCATGTGTCATTTCGTTGATAATCCAATTATATATGTAAAATAAACCAGTATGTGACTGGAGGAGGTGTTGGTCGTTACTGGGAGGACCGGATGTTTACAGGCGGGTCACTTCCTGCTGAGTTTTGTAACTGTTTGATAAGAACTTATATAAGTTCTGATGAGGAGGAAGAATAATCGGGAGAGGAAAGGTGAGAGCTGTGTCAGCATCAGACAGGTGAGGTTTTAAATCAGGATTAATGGAGGCTGTTCTGGTTCCGGTTCCAGTTAACATCATGGAGAACTGAAGAGTTTTCCCCACTTTTTGCTGCTGCAGGTTGAAAGCTGGAGATGTCTGCAGTGAGGCGGTCAGTGAGCGAGGCCTTCTGGGCCATGTGTGCCGCAGATTCCCTGTCCATGCCGGTCCACTGGTATTACAACATCCAGGACATCAGCAGGGACTTCGGAGGCTGGATCAGCGGGTTTAACGCTCCCGCAGACAGACACCCGTCCAGCATCCTGACCCTGTCCAACACAGGTACCAGAACCGGACCGGGTTTCAGCTTTGAAGCAAAATGGATGAATTCATCTAAACAGTGTTGAAATTGGAGCCATTCCTTGATGTCAACCTGGTTTTATCTAGTAAAAGAAATTTTATTTATTTTTTAAATGAATTTTTAATTCATCACAGTCTTTTTTTTATAAATTTTATTGGTTTAAAATGTTTGACTATTTTAAAATGTACATGCACGTTTATATATATAATTTATTAGTATTTATCCATTCAGTCCAGAACTAGCTAGTGATTAGTATAACTGTTGGAAAACCCCAATGAGCATGGCCTGGTGGTGGCAGCATCATGCTGTGGGGCTGGATCCCAAACCAGCCAGATAGCAACATTAATGTTCCGTGTTTCAACCAATCAAAATGCGTGAAAGGTTGTGTCATGGCAGCCATGTGTCACTGATGATGCGGTGTGTCAGTTAGAACGTTTTTAATGACGTTCCTTCTGCAGAACATCAGAGTCCTGAGAACCCGGCCATGAGGAACTCCTCCCTCGTTGATGACTCGGTTCTGACACGTTTCCTTCTTCCTGTTGCAGCCGGCAGCGGTCGCTCCGCCTGGTCCACCGGTGCCAAGCGAGCCGACGTCGTAGGGAGCGTCATCCTCCATAACAAGCTGGATCTGTGGCGGTCCTCCAACGGCTCGGTCCATTACCACCAAGGTACCGGCGCTCAGAACCGCAGCTGTGTCAGAACCGGTGACTCTGTCGGATCTTCATCGTCTGTCCGGTCCTGCAGGTCTCCAGGCCGGAGACAACACCCTGAACATCCTCTGCTCCCTGCGAGCAGCTCGGACCATCGTCTCCGGGCGTTTCGCCGACGTCTCCCAGCCGGAGGTTCGGGCCGCTGTTCTGTCCGACTACGTCCGGTTCCTGACCACGCCCGGCTCGCACGCCGACACCTACGCCGAGTCCTTCCACCGCTCGTTCTTCGCCGACTGGCAGGACGGCAGGCCGACGTCTCCCAGTGAGGTGAACCAGGATCTTCCCTCCAGCTCCGCTGGTCATCAGACCGGTTCTGACTCTCTGGTTCTCTTCAGGTTCTGAAGTTTGCAGAGAAACGATCCAAACAGCTGCTGAGCTCTCGGTTTCCTGACAGCCAGCTGGACGCCATCGGTTGCCTTCCCATGATCCTTCCCTTTGTGCTGTTGTCTGCTTCGGCCAATGAGGATGAAGCTGTGAGCGAACCCAACCCGTCCGTCCTCATCCGTCCCTGAAGGTCCGGTCTCATGTTGTCGTCTCTCCTCAGGTTTCAGCAGCGGTGGAGTTCGTGAAGCTCACCCATCCTCACCCCAAAGTGCCCGAATATGTGACGATCTACAGCCGGGCGCTCCACGCCGTGCTGGGCGGGGCCAGCGTCCGCCAGCAGGCCGAGTTCGCCCTGAAGAGGCTGGAGGCCTGGGACGCCTGCCAGAGCTACAGCCGCAAGGCCGCCAGGTCCGTCAGAACTGGGCCAGCAGCTCTGCTGAAGGTTTCAGACATGAAACAGCTGATTTACTTTGACTGTTCCAGGTTTCCACCATCTTCTGAGGAGAGGCTGCAGGTCCATCAGAACGCCGTGAGCCACCTGGGTCTGGCCTGCTACAACAGAGGTCAGAGCCTACAAGCTCAACTTTAGCTTTACCTTATGTGAGCCATGCTAACCTTTGACCCGTTGAACCCACAGGGGCTCTGTCCAGTTTGTTCTACCTGGCCTACGAGTTTCATGACGACCCCAAAGGAGGAATCCTGACCAACACCAACTGTGGAGGTCAGACCTCAAGACGTTAGCTGAAACAAAGCTGAAGTGGTGGCATCTCTAGCTGAACGCTTAAATGTGCTAATGCGCTAATCATAACCATTAGCTCCTCTAGCACTAAAACCCTCCACCATTTAGCAGTATTTGGTGGAAGCTAATGCTAAATGCTACAGAAACACAGTATTTAGCAGAGGCTAATGCTGAAATGCTAGACTAACATAGTATTTAGCAGAGGCTAATACTAAAGCGCTACACCAACATGAAGTTTAGCTGAAGCTAATGGTAAAACACTAACTTTAATTTAATAATTCCGTCCTGTATGTTGCTTTAAATAAACTTATTAGGGAAGAAAGAGAGAAAACAAAACTTGAGTAAACAGACTTCAAACTGGATCTCCTGGTGTTTAACCTGTTTTGGTCTCCAGGTGAAAACTGTAACCGCGGTTCGGCCCTCGGGGCCCTGCTGGGGGCCGGGGCCGCCCACCGCGGCGCCGCCATCCCCCAGGAGTGGAAGGACGAACTGAGAGACGCCCAGGAGTTGCTCCCCGACATCCTGAAGGAGATGCTGTAACCGTGGTGACGCCCCCTGGAGGACAGGAGGACAACTGTTATCACAATGCAATGCAGCTTTCTGATTCCAGCGTTTTCTGTTTACAGTCACGATAAATTTGTTTTTAACTGGTTTTTTATTTAATAATCTGAATGCTTATGTAAACACCATGTTAACTTTTAAAAGGGAGCTTCATTAAATTATGAGTTATATTTATTATTTCTGTCTCAGTGTGCTGAAAAACAAACATGTCGTGGAAATGATCCTGATGGATTTATTCATTAAATAAAGTCAGAATCTTTGATTAAAACCATCATATTTAGAGTTTAGTGCCTATTTAAATGGTTCAAGCCTGATAAACCAGAGTAGATTTCATTCTTTGAGTTTATCTGCTTTGAAATAAATTGTAGCCATTTTGTCCTGACAGCAGAAAGGGGCTGAGCTTTAATCTGACGTGTTTTTCAGTCGGGGTTTTTGTTTGCTTCTCTGTGAACTTTGATCAGTTTAAAACGAGCATGGCGTCCATCAGCAGACAAATGAAGAGCGTCTTCTTCCTTCTCATAACCGCCGCTCTCCCAGCATGCACCGGGACCCCAGGAGGTCAGTCCTGCTCTTTCTTCCTCCTTCCTCTTCATCTTATTGTTGCTCTGGTAGCGTCTGTCAGGATCCAACGGCTCGGTTCTGATGAACTGGACCTCCGTTCTGCTCCAGACTGCAAAACGAAGAAAATACTACACAGTTTTATCATAAATTTAACTATTTTGACCAAAAGAGCTTTATTTATAATCTAATGAAATATCCTGTCAGATTTTTCTGCTGCAAACAAGTTAAATCAATAAAAATGAGTTTTAAATAAATATTATTTTACTCTAAGTACATTGAAATCCCTAGATTTTAAATAAAAATCAATTAAGCAACAGAAAATATTACTTTTTCTGTTAGTATTTAAATTTTCCTACTTGTGGTTTATGAATCTTGTTTTTGTATTTATGGCTGGTTATGAAAATATTTTCTGTCAGAAATTTCAAGAAATTTGTGGAAAATATTTTGAGTATCCAAAAAACATACACAAGTAAGAGTAGCTCAAGTAAAAGTAAAAAAGTATTTGGTAAAAGTCTACTCAAATTTAAATCATTTCATATTTAAAAAAAATAGATTATCAGATGGACAAAAATGTAAATTAAGTGGAAATGTTGGTATTTTAAGAACAAAAATGACAATAATTCATATAAGTATCAAAAAATAACAAAATCAGGCAAAATAAAATGTTTCCAGATCTGTTTCTTTCAATAAAAAAAAAAACTTATGAAACTTTAACAAAAACTGCAGGTGTGGGTCTGTTTCTGGTGAATTTAGTTTGTTTTTCAATCTGTGTGTAGAAAATCCAAAGATTTTACCCCAGTAAGAGTGGAAACAGTTCATAATAATATAAATAAAAGTAAATTTTCTCAAAAAAGTTACTTCAGTAAATGTAACTAGTTACTGCCCGTCATATGGTTTCAGTTTGAGTCCAGCAGCCGTTTGGTTGTTTTCCTGCAGGACGAATGTTTGTGTCCCGACATGAAGCCACTGGTTTCCTGCAGCGAACTCGAAGGGCCAACACTTTCCTGGAGGAGCTGAGAAACGGAAACATGGAGCGCGAATGTTACGAGGAGAAATGTTCCTACGAGGAGGCCAGAGAGATCATCCCGCACCCGCAGCAGCTGGTGAGTCTCACCTCCGTCTGAGATTTAAAGTAAAGAAGTAAACTTACTTAGATACTGTTTTTCAGAATGTCTACTTCACCCGAGTAACATTTTTTTGGGAAAACTTAAAACTTTCACTCTGCTACATTTCTCAAAAGTCTTTCGTTACATCAGGTGTGCTCAATGTGCGGTTCGGGGGCCATTTGTGGCCCTTGACTTGATCCCAGATCAGGAAAAGGCGAATTTGCTGCTTCAGGCCGTTTAATGTTGGTGAAATTTTCACTGGTCAAAGTTCTGTGCAAAATAAAACAGACAGTTAAAATCTGATAATGTAAAATGTAATGTGCAACATAAAGTATTAATACAGGGTTTTGCTTTTAATTTATTAGTAATAAACGTTCATTGAAGAGTGAAACATAAACTGTTCTTACTGACAAAAAAATCCAGAAAAAGATAAAACATTTGGATATAATTATATATATAATATATATAATTTGTCAAACCTGCAAGAACTACAGAAATCTGACAGCTTTGCTTATTTAGCAAGCACAAATAAATAATAAAATTGTTTGTGCAATTACAATAAAAATATTTGTAAAATGTTTGTCCCCCTGATTTATAATCTGGCCAAGCAGAAAATTTCCACAAATATTCTTGGCTAAACTCAAAAATATTCAAAGTACTTTAACTTAACTTTAGCCGAGTTCCTGATCCATCTCTGGTTTCACTGCCTGGTTTTCTCTTGTGCAGGAAAACTTCTGGAGGACCTACACAGGTACTGACCCGAACATTTCCCGCCTGCTGTGAGAACCGGGCCTCATGGATGTGTTTTGGTTTCCAGCGCCGAACCTCTGCCTGTCGTCTCCCTGTAAGAACGGGGCGACCTGCACCCGCCACCTCGCCTCCTACGCCTGTAAATGTGCCCCCGGTTTCCACGGGTCCAAATGTGACAAAGGTAGGAACCTGCTGAGAACTGGCTGCTGACGGGCCGGGTCCAGGATGTGGGTGATGTTCTGTTTCTGCCCGTTTGCAGTCCGATCGACCTCAACCAGGTGTCGCTATAGAAACGGCGGATGCGAGCATTTCTGCAGAGAGAATCCGGATCGCTCGCGGTTCTGCTTCTGTGCTCCAGGATACGGACTGGACCAGGACAACAGCACCTGCCTGCCCAAAGGTCAGAGCGGAGAGTCTTCTTCCTGGGGGTTCTGTCCGCTTCCCAACAGAACCGCACACTGAGACGCAACGCCTCCAGACTCAGGAAGTAAGACTGACCTCTGACCTCTCTCTGCTGCAGAGCCGGTCGTCTGTGGGAGGCCGCTGGTCAATTTTGCCCCCCGGGTTGTTAGAGGGCAGGCCTGCCCCAAAGGTCACTGTCCATGGCAGGTGAGTCCAACACCAGACTGGTCCAAAACATTTAATTTCAAAATTCACTAAATTAAAAATTAAAAAACTAGTTTACTGTGATTTCTAATTTTTTCAGTTTTACCTCCTCAACAAAAAACAAATTTTAATAAAATCTGTAAATAATTAAAGATCCAAACCATAAAACAAGTTTTAAATTGTTGCCTTATTAAACAAAAACTATTTTAGAATTTATTAAATAAAAAATTTGTTTGTGATATTTTTTGTTTCACCTGCTCAACAACAAACATTTTAATGAATATTATTAAAGATTCATAACATAAACGAGCTTTGGTTTGTTGCCTAATTAAAATAAAAACAATTTGTAAATTTATTAAATAAAAAAAGGCAAACATTTGTTAGGTAATTTTTGTTTAACTTCATTAAGAACTAACCAAATTTTAATGAAATCTGTTCATCATTAATGATCCTAAAATAGGCTTTGGACATTTACCTTATTTAAAGAAAACAATGTCAAAATTCAATCAATTAAAAATGTAAGAAATTGTTTTTGTTGTTTTTTTAATTACCTGCACAATGACACATACATTTTTTATAAAGTCTGAATATCATTAAATATCCAGAACATAAAACAAGTTTTGATTTGTTTCCTTATTTAAAAAAAACTATTTCAAAATTCACTAAATAAAAAATTCACTAAAATGGTTTGTGGTGTTTTTAAAACAAATCACTGCTCAACAATAAATCAAAATTACATGAAATTGTATATCGGTAAACAAACAGAGGCTTCAGACTCACTAAATAAATAAAAAATATTTTTTTGTTTTTAAAATGAAATCTGAGTGTCAATAAAGATCCTAAACATAAAAGGGTTCAGGTCACCTGAGTGAAGTTGGTCTTTCTTCAAATCTAACAAATAAAACATTTGTGCTGCCGTCATTTTAAAGATTTTAGCAAAAACATTTCCAGAGGTCATCTGAGGTCATCGTTAATATCTTCAAAATAAAGCAGCACAAACAAAAGTTTTTGCCGCCCAAACGTCTGACACCAATTTGTTAGATTTGTAGAAACCTGGGGGTCAACTTCACTCAGGTCTTCAGAGGTCGGGTCAAGGTCGTTCACGTTTGTTCCAGGTTGCGCTGTACGAACACAACCGGTTCAGCTGCGGCGCCATCATCCTGTCAGACGTGTGGATTCTCACCGCAGCGCACTGCGTCTGGAGCAAACCTTCAGCCATCTTACACATCTACGTAGGTGAGGTCACTCTTCAAGGTCAAACTCACAGCCTGGCGTCTCCTGACGATGTTTAACCTGAATGCTGGTCGCTGCCAGGCAAACATGACCTAGCGACAGAGGAGAAGACGCAGCAGCAGCGGCGTGTGCTGAACATCACCATCCACCCGGACTACGACCCCCTGACCACCGACAGCGACCTGGCCCTGCTGAAGCTGCACCGCCCGGTGAAGCTGGGCCTCCACGTCATCCCCATCTGCCTGCCGGCTCGGAACAGCACCTTCGCCTGGACGCTGTACAACGTCCGCCAGGCCACCGTGTCCGGATGGGGCCGCCTGGTGGAGGCCGGCCCCATCGCCCGCTACCTGCAGTGGCTGGTGCTGCCCAGGGTGCCGCTGCAGGAGTGCCGCCTCCACACCCAGCTCAACATCACCAAGAACATGTTCTGCGTGGGGCACAGACGGGGCGGGCAGGACGCCTGCGAAGGCGACAGCGGCGGACCGCTGGTGGTGAAGTACAAGAAGACGTGGTTCCTGACGGGCGTGGTGAGCTGGGGGAAGGGCTGTGCCAAGGAGAACATGTACGGCGTCTACGCCAAAGTCACCAACTTCCTGGAGTGGATCGAAACTGTGATGGCTACCGGCTGAAACGGCGCAGGTCAACGCAGCGCCGAGTAAACTGTGCTAGGAAAGTAGAAATGTCTGTAGAAATGTAGTTACATTAACCCAGCGACAAGCTCAAAGTTTAGATTTAATGTCTGAAATTACTTCTGTGGGTTTACATCTGGACAGGGGGAAGGAAATCTGTATTAATGTTCCAGAGAGTCATAATTCTGTCATCTATATGTAATAAACATACATAATCAGGCAAAACTGTGTTTTTCTTTCTACATGATTTCAACATTTAATCCTCAGTCATTAATGAACGAGTTCTCATCCAGGTGGGACAGAGGCTAAGCAAACTGTTGGGTGGAGATGTCCACCACCACAAGTCCTGGAAACTTCGTTTGTAACAGAAGGACGTTAGCCTGTTAGCATCGTTAGCTTGTTGACAAACTTTAGCAGGAAAAAACTGATGTTAGCTTTAAGCTAATGGGTTTCTTGTCGATCAGTTTTTTTCCTCAAAATCTTAAAGTTTGACTTTAGTGTAACATTTACAACAGATTATATGTCAGACTTTGACTAATCCAAACTACCACTTCACCAGTTTGTACCCAAGGATTTACCAGAACATTAGCAGCTCGTCCCTTCCTACTTCACTTTCCCACCTGCTAACAAACCGCTCATTTATTTGTGAGGTATTGTTAGGAATCAAGGAGACATTTTGTTTTCAAAAAAAGTTAGAATCACATATTTAATGTTTTTTAATCAGTATTTCTTCTGTTATTTAATCTTTTCACAACTCTGCTCGACTTGTGGATGGTTTATGATTAGTACCACTAGAGGGAGCTCCAGTGCTCCTGTTAAGAACCTCAGGTCCAACCGAACCAAAGGTAGACTGTTACATAAATATTTGTTTTGAGGGGAGGAAAGAGTAACTTACAGTGTTTTTATGGCTTTCATGCATCTTATTTCCATTTTTCATTCAGTGTTTTGGTTTCTTCTGCCCGCAGGTTAAAGTTTCAGTTTGATTTCACTCTCACAGCTTTCTGTCTTATTACATAAATGTTTTGATGTTCATATCAGGACCTGATGAGGTTTGAGAAGGAAATATTTTCTGAATTTGGTCAGCAGAAGTTGCTGAACCTGAGGGCATTGATCAGCCAGTGTTTCGTCACCAGGGGTATCTCCATGTGACAAACTACATGCTAGTGGTGAGAGGGGGAGTTCAAGACTTTGTACCTTTAGAAGAGCGATGGTAACGTTCTGATGAAATCAACCATGTTGCTGAGGGTCTTCGTCATCTTCGTCTTCATCCTCCAGGACTCCCAGCCGGCTTCAGGTGAGGAAGATCCAGACTGAACCTGTAAGTTGTTCATGGTTTAGCAGAAGGAGTTGAAGCTGAGGTAAATCCTTAATAGTTTGTGTTGAGTTAACAACAAGCTAGCCGGCTGCAAAGCTAACACCTACTGGTGTCACATTCTGATTGCCTCACCCAACAACCCACTGGTGACAAACACCCTTAAAAGGTTCAGTTCAGCAAATGACCGAAACCTTCTGGGTCTCCTAGCAATAGCAAAACAAGCTACCGAAGCATCAATGAACCTTTGGATCTTAAATCTTCCTCCTCAAGTCTTGTTTCTGAACAGAAGACAGTATAAAGTGACCAGATTTATCAAAGGACAATTAGACAAGCTTCATCTTCTAAGACCAGCGGTGGTGGAGGCTGGAGTGTCATGCAGTGTATCACGAGATTATTTCCAGTAATCAAACTCAGGGAACTGTATGGCAAACAAAGAGAGTCTACAGAGAGTCTGTTATCTACACATCAGCGCTGAAATGCAGCAACATGGTTTCCCCTGGTTATGTTTAGTTCATCACGTTCCAGGAACGGCTGCTACCTATAAACAACAGCAGCTAGTAGAGCCTTATGAAGCTCTCCAAATTAAACTAACAGAGGAAATTACAAGATGTGTTTTTGTTCCAAAGTAAAAATCGTATCAGCTGCACCTTGATTTATATCTACCTCAACAGGTAAACTGATGTTTTCCAGTGAAGGCATGTGATTTATGCTCCTTTGTGTTCCACAGTCTTTCTGGAGCGACATGAGGCCAACGGCGTCCTGATTCGGACTCGCCGGTTCAACTCCGGCTGGTTTGAGGAGCTGAAGATGGGAAACCTGGAGAGGGAGTGTTTGGAGGAGAAATGTAGCTTTGAGGAGGCCAGAGAGGTGTTTGAGCACGACGAGGTGACGGTGCGTTACGTCGCAGACACTATGAGGGTCGACGATTCTAACTCATCGAGCAAGAAACTAAAATCCTGTTGGTTTTTGTCTTTTCTTCAGAACGAGTTCTGGAAACGGTACTCCAGTAAGTAATGATTGTCAACATAAACCGTAAAACATCTGACCTTCTGGTAACGGAGTCAGGGAGGAGAACAGTACATCCACTAGAGCTGCCTGTATGTTTGGAGGGTTTTACGAAAAGTTTCACATTTCTACGACAACTGCTGACCGTTTATAAGCTGCTGAATATTTCTGAACACTTGGGGTTGGATTAAAATAGGTTCATAACCGTCAACAGTTATCAGCTGTAATGTTGGCTGTAATTTCTGTTAAATAATAACGGTGTGTTTCTGCCCCAGTCCCTGACAGATGTACCTCGGCTCCCTGTCAGAACAGAGGGACCTGCATCAATAACGAAGAGTCCTACACCTGCTTATGTCTTCCTCAGTTCATGGGACTCAACTGTGAGTTCGGTGAGCAAGAAAAGACATTTTATCATGGGTTAACAACCAGTATTTTAATTTCCTGTCTTTTTCAAATAACTTCAGTTCCTATCTGTTATTATTTCTGTCTCCAGAGCAGCAGACGGAGTCTGACAGTTGTCTGCTGGAGAACGGAGGCTGTGATCATTTCTGCGATGAAGACACTTTTGGACGAAGGCTAGCATGTTCATGTGCTGATGGTTATGAACTGGACGCAGATGGACGGAGCTGCATCACTAAAGGTTTACTGCAACTTTAGGTCATTTACAAACTTTCATTCTGACTGAATATTTTAGTAACACAATAATCATCTACATAAGAGTTTTGTATTTCAATAAATACAAAACTACTGGATCGTAAGCTACCTACACCAACTTTCAATTACAAACCAGAAAAAGTTTTTTTCAGGTTTCACAGACAATTTAAAAAGCTTATTTTGGCTTCCTCCAAATAGATCAATTTGTCATCAGCCTAAGAGAGAACATTAAAAACATCAATTTTGTTATCAAATCAACACTCAAGACGTTTAAATTTAGTTGCTGAGGAGTTATTTTGTCCTATATCAGCCCTGGTAATCAACTGTCCAATCAAATGGTTGTTTCAGCACCAATAGCATGCGGCACGGTCCCCGTCCTACAGAAGGTAACCAAAGACATGCATCTGCTGAGGATTGTGGGGGGAAGCGAATGTCCAAAAGGTGAATGCCCCTGGCAGGTAGGTGGAAGATAAAGAGTCTGATTTACTGTCAGCAAACAGACTTCAGAGTTACAGTGAGAGCTGAAGCCAAACATGTTCAACCTGCTAAGACTGAAGAGGAGGCCGATGTTTTCATGGAATGAAAACTGAAATCTGTGTTTAATCATTCCTTGAAGGTTTTGCTGACATATAAAGGCAAAGGTTTCTGCGGAGGAGTGATTTATAAACCGACATGGATCCTCACAGCATCTCACTGCCTGGAGAACACCAACCCGCAGTTCCTGAAAGTGGTTGCAGGTATGAATCAAACCTTTCAACAGCAAAAAAACAATTTAAACCAGTAGAGACCAGTTCAAACTGGTTCCTGCTCTGTCTTCCAGGTGAACACGACATCTTGGTCAACGAGTCCACTGAACAGGTCATCCAAGTAGTAGAGATCATCATGCATGAGAATTATGTGAGCAGTACCGTGGACAACGACATCGGCCTCCTACGCCTAGCGTCCCCCATAGTTTACTCGCCGTACGCGGTTCCGATCTGCCTGCCGACTCGGCCGCTGGCTGAACGGGACCTCTGGGCGGTGGACCTGCACACGGTGAGCGGCTGGGGCAGGCAGGGCGAGAACGGGCCCACCTCCGTCCTCCTCCGGCGTACCAAGGTGCCGCGCATCCGGAAGCAGACCTGCAAAGAGCAGAGCGGCGTGCTGCTCACCAAGAACATGTTCTGTGCCGGGTACTTGGACGGTCGGACGGACTCGTGTAAAGGCGACAGCGGCGGCCCGCTGGTGACGAAGTTCAAGAAGACGCACTTCCTGCTAGGCATCGTCAGCTGGGGGAAGGGCTGCGCCCGACCAGGCAACTACGGCATCTACACCCGAGTGTCCAACTACCTGGAGTGGATCCAGAACCGAACAGCGACACCGGTTACAGGAAACACCACAGAAACCGTCCCTAGCTCTGCGACTGTAACTGTACAGTAATCTGAATCATTTATCCAAACAGATGGAGAGCAAACTGAAAAAATGACTTCCTTTCTACAGGTGCCATATGCAAACTTAAATTAACAGCAATAATAAAATGGAGGTTGAAATATAAGGAAGCAAAATATTTAGCTTCCAGGTAACCATTTAGTTAGCAAGCCACATTTAAAATATTTATTTTGTAAACTAAATATTTGCATTCAGTTCTACAGTTAGCTTGCTAACTATTTAACTATCAAAATATTTAGGTTGTATCAAAATATTTCGTTTAGTAATTGAATATTTAGCTTGGTAAGAGAAGTATTTAGCTGACTAATTATTTAATTAGCAAACTACATATTTAGCTTGCTAACTAAGTATTTAATGTGCCAACTAAATATTTAGCTTGCTAATTGAATATTTAGCTTTAAAATATTAAGCTCACTAATTAGCAAGCTGAATAATTAGTTTGCTAACTAAATGTTTTGATTGCTAACTGATTATTTGGGTTGCTAATTTAAAATTTAGCATTTGAAACTGTGACATTTATACATGTCTTGGTCCAAAATGCCGGGTTATTTTTTGGGTTTGTTGTGTAGAAGGTTAAAGGTTTAGGTCATTCATTTGTTTAAATGAGTTAATAAAGAAAATATGATATGTTTTGTGGTTTTATTGTTAATTTCTTCACAGCTGGAAGAAGGAAAATAAAATATTTAGAATGTCCAAATGTCTCTCACTAATCATCTCTTAGATGAGAAATTCACACCAAATGTTTAAATCAATATAAATAATACACAGATGCAAAGAGATAATAACTATTTCATAAACTAAGCCCTGCATCCTGTGTCCAGGTAAATCTGTACGGAGCCCCTAAGGGGACATGGAGAAAAAAAAAAAGGAAAGAAATCCCGACTTATTATCGCGAGATCCCGAGAAACTAAGTCGAGATCTCGAGATCCCGACTTATTATCGCGAGATCCCGACTTATTATCGCGAGATCCCGACTTATTATCGCGAGATCCCGACTTATTATCTCGAGATCCCGACTTATTATCGCGAGATCCCGAGAAAATAAGTCGGGATCTCGAGATCCCGAGAAAATAAGTCGGGATCTCGAGATCTCGAGATAATAAGTCGGGATCTCGAGATAATAAGTCGGGATCTCGAGATCTTGACTTAGTTTCTCGGGATCTCGAGATAATAAGTCGGGATCTCGAGATAATAAGTCGGGATCTCGAGATAATAAGTCGGGATCTCGCGATAATAAGTCGGGATCTCGAGATCTCGACTTAGTTTCTCGGGATCTCGCGATAATAAGTCGGGATTTCTTTCCTTTTTTTTTTTTCTCCATGTCCCCTTAGGGGCTCCGTAAATCTGAGTCCATCTGAGTTCACCAACATTTACTGACACCTAGTGGACAATTAGAGGCATAGCAATACAATGAAGTCCACTCACTACTCAATAAAAATATATTGAGTGGATTTTTAACAGTAAATAAGAAATATGTTGCATATTTACTGTAATCTATGTAGAAAACCTGTAAGATCTCTTCATTTTATCCAAATACAGTTAAAGATTTGATTTTAATTTTCTTACGATGAAAGCTTTAGTTACAAACAGTTCAACTTTAAGTTTTTATTTTCTAGCTAATCCATCTTCAGTGGTCGTACTTCTGCAGTAACTGTGAAGTACTTTTCCATACTGCTTGTGTACAGCGAGTGAAACGCGTCCAAAGTACCAGAGATCTTTGTTTACAGAGCAGGTTGAGGCTCCAGAGCTGAACCGCCTCTGATCTAAGTCCTGATTTTGTCTGCGACGTTCAACACTGCAGACATGCTGCTGAGGAGCTTCTGCCTGGTTTCTGCTCTGCTGTGGGCCGTCCACGCTGCTGAAGGTCGGACAAAACATCCATTAACTCAGATTACTGCTTTTAGAGACACACACCTTAATGGTTTGTTTTAAGATTTAATCCCAGACGTTGATTAGATAAACAGCAGAATCTACCAGGTACCTTTAGAAGCTTCTGCTGTGTTCACACATTAATTAAAGAAAACGCCGTGAAGGTGAGTAACAGACGAATGGATGCACCGTCTGCAGTGTTTGTAGAGAAACATGAAGCCGCCTCGGTGCTGCGCAGATGGAGGAGAGCGAACAGCGGCTTCCTGGAGGAGCTGAAGCAGGGGAACCTGCAGAGGGAATGCATCGAGGAGATCTGCGACTACGAGGAGGCGCGGGAAGTCTTCGAGGACGACGAGAAGACGGTGAGCAGCTCGCTCCTCTGGATCTCTGCTGCACCCGCTGGTGTCCGGAGAATAAAAACACTGACAAACTCTTTCTGTTCGGTTTCAGAGGGAATTCTGGAAAACTTATGAAAGTAAGTGTCTTACAGTGCTCACCCTGACTGATCCAACAAATCTGCTGAAACTGAAGTCAACCTTCATTATTTTGGACCCTACAATGATTCCAATCTGTTCCGTCAGAAAAGGACCCCTGCCTGGTGAACCTGTGCCAAAACAACGGGACGTGTATCTACATGGGAACCAGCTATGAATGCCAGTGTCCGGAGGGATATGAGGGACGGTACTGTCAGACAGGTACTGCTTTTACTTTAATATTTGTAGATGTTTCTGGTGTTTTTTCTATTCATGTTAAATTACAGTTGTAAACATCATCCAGCTGACCTTCAGTGATTGATGGGTAGAGTAGCCATCTAACTCAGGTACAATGTATTTTTACTGAAACAAAAGTGAGTAAATTTAAGTAACTGGTTATTTTAGATGTCTAAATGTGGAGAAAACAGCTGCTCTGCTGCATAAGATTTTCTTTTCAGTGTTTGAAGACTCGCTGGGTTGCCTGTACCAGAATGGAAACTGTGAGCATTTCTGCGACGGTTCTGGAGGGAGACGTAAATGTTTCTGTGCTGACGGCTACCAGCTGGGAGACGATGGAAAAAAATGCGTCCCTAAAGGTGAAGGAAAGGTCACAGCGCCCTCTAGTTTACATGGGCGTTTGCTGATGATGTGATTGTGTTCAGTGGCGTTCCCCTGCGGACGGGTGGCCTCCTCAGACACCGGACTCAACCAGACCATGCAGGATCAGGTCAGGCTGGTGGGAGCTAACCACTGTAACGATGGAGACTGCCCCTGGCAGGTAAACACTGCTGCAACCCACAGTGGCGCCCCCTGCAGGCTGCCGCTGTGTCCAGGTCCTTATTAAACCAATCGGACGCCGGTTGGTTTAAAATCCAATCAACCAGATTATTAAATAAATAACTCTTAATGTTCTTCCTCAGGTTCTGATTAAGCTGAATGGAAGCAGCCACTGCGGTGGAGTTCTGGTCCGACCGGACTGGGTCATCACCGCGGCCCACTGCGTTCATGGCCAGAGCCTCCAGCACCTCACTGTGGTGGCAGGTACAGCTAAAATCTGACCTCTAATCACCTTCAAATATCGGCAAACTATTTAGGGAACTAAATGGTTATCATATTTACTAAATGTTTTATAAAAAAAAAAATCTAAACTGGATGAAGTTTGTCATTTTGTGCAAAAGTGTTTAAATGCCAGAGCTTGGAAATAAATACAGGAACATTTACCTCGTTATAACACAAGAACGTTTCTTGTTAAAATGAAAAAAACCTGAATTTGGTGAGAACGTTTCTCGTTTTAACAACATTTAAAAAGACATAAAGGGGTGCTATATTTTGGTTTTAATAAACAGGACAGTTTTCCCATTTGAATACTGCTCTTGAATTTATTTCCAAGCTTTAGCAGGTGAACACTTGTGTAATTTTCAGACGTTTCACTGATTCAAAACTTGATGCCTTTTCCAGCTCAGTTGCGATTTAGAACGAAATCTGTCTTTGTTGACCAGGTGAAAACAATCTGGATATGAAAGGTGACACAGAGCAAACATTTGACGCTAACATGGCGATTCCCCATGACAACTACAACCCGGCAACAGGCGACAGCGACATCGCCCTGGTCCGGATGAACGGGTCTGTTGTTCTGAACAGGTACACCGTCCCCATCTGCCTTCCCACCAAAGACTTTGCTGAACGGGAGTTGCTGCCGGTCCGATACCACACTGTGTCCGGCTGGGGCAAGAGGACCACCGGGGGGAACGCCTTCACCTCCTCGGGCCGCCGGGTCTCACCCACCCTCCGTAAGATGAGCGTCCCCATCGTCCAGAACTCCCAGTGCTCCCAGAAAGCCAAATTCAACTTCACCGACAACATGCTGTGCGCCGGGTACCTGGACGGAAACCAGGAAAGTTGCCGTGGCGACGACGGCAGTCCGCTGGTCACCGAATACCGCTCCACCAGCTTCCTGACGGGCGTGGTGGCCTGGGGGCGGGGCTGTTCTCGCCCGGGGTACTACGGAGTCTACACCAAGGTGGCCATGTTTGTAGACTGGGCGGAGGAAACCATGAAGAACACACCGATTCTGGATGTCCTGCAGGAGCAAACAAGGGTTTAAACTCAGAAAAGATTCAAAATGTTGGTCCATGTTGTAGAACAGACAAAGTTATTCCATCTGTTCTCAGGAGGCAACATAAACAAATAAAGCCTGGAATGAAAACATCTCTGACTTCTGAAATTCTTATGATTTAAAAATATTTTATTACATATTTGTTGAAACTGTCACTATGTCTTAACAGATAAACTGAAAAAATCAAGGTCCTCTGCCTTCTTCTCCCAGTGTTAACTGGGGACAACTAGTCAGAGCCAGGAGGCGGGTCTTAGCGCTGTCAATCATGCCTGTGTGCGCACTTGAAATCTACTAAATCTACTAAATTACTAAGTTTTAAAATTTATTTTAGATGCTACATTCTCAATGTTATCAGAACTGTATAGGTTTTTAAATTCAAGTTGTTCACACAAACCATACATCATCACACCATCAGTCCTCCCGACGGAGATCCACGACTGCCTGGAGAGTCAGGGGCGTAGCATAGGACCTGTACCGACCTGGGCTGGAAGGCCGCTCACAAAGGAAGAAACCATTACTAATTCTAACGGTTAGTAATGGAAATACTCTAATGCAGTGGTTCCCAAACTTTTTGGGAAAAGACACGCTTTACTTTTGGGTTCCACAACCCAAAGAACAAATCCAACATTTTGGTGACATGCGCTGACATATTTAAAGCACTGTCCTACATATGTATCATTCATTAATGGCCGTATTTATTTAAGTTTGAAACAGCTCTGTGTTAAAGAGTGTTAAGAAAATAAATTTAAAGTATGCTAGTTTAAAGCTTAACATCTCTTGACTGAAATAGCCTAACTATAGTTTTGAAATTAGTAACTTATTCTGGCCTATTGACCTTTATGTTACCTGTAGTTACAGCAGATGGTTTGCTAAGATCTTTTAAACTGCCCTTTGTCTGTGTGGGAAACAATCAGGAGAAGTTCCAGCTTTTCACACTCATCTGTGAAAAGCCATAAAACAGCAGGAGTTCAGGAGAGTCTCTGCTCTCACTTTCTTTAAACAATGGAGACAAATGGTCTTAGATCGTGACTTGCAGGGAATTTTAAAAGGGTCAGAGACAGCTTCTGGTTGGATGAGCAAATGTATGCCTTATTTGAATAAATTAAAGACAAGAATACGCCTTTACTATAAAACTTTCTACACAGGAGTAACAAATTAGATTTGCTCTTGCAATTCTCCAAAGACGTCTTTGCTTTTCTTTCTTCTTCTTCTTTTCCATTTGTCTCAGGTAAAAGAATGTATGTCTCTGTTGTTCTGCAGTTTCTGTTGTAATTTTATGTGTTGTCTTCTATTGGATTAAACTCTGTAATTCTGTGACGTCAACACTCATTGTTATTTTCTGTGTGGCTACATGCGGCCCGCCGGGAGGACCCGGGATCCATAAGAAGAAGATCGAGCCAAAGAGTTTTCTTAAGAAGAAATATAACTTAAAATCTTCTTCAACAAGAGACAGAAGCAGGAATATCTTTTTGCTGATAACGAATGAACAATCAGAACAAACTGTGACTGATAGCCGAGGACCAGAATGAGATAAAACAGCTTATCTTCTTTTACTCCTCCAGGAAAATCCAACAACAGAAGCAGAAAAATCTGGACTGAAACCCCGGATTCTGATTGAAGAAGTTTGTAGCTTTCTCTAAAAATGAACAGACTACTTTATCATTTCACCAGAACCACAAGCTTCCCTGTTTCTACTGCAAAGCACTGTAGGAGTTGTAGTTTTCACTGACGGAGTGCTGAAGGTCTGACATTTGGAGCAGGAAGCCTGAGATAAAGCCCGCCCAGAGCAGACCTTCCTCCCCCAGCGCAGTTCGTTGCCCTCTCTGCCTCCCTGCTGCAGTCAGACTCCATAACTCTGAACCAGGACAGTGAAGGTTCTCCAACCGGGACCATGTCTGGGACTCTACGACCGACCCTGGGCCTCGTGCTGCTGCTTCACCTCACGGCCGCTCACGGTACGTTGAGACCCACATTCAGGTGTCAGGACTGATGAAGAGGAGGGTGGTGGGGAGGAATTTGGAGTGTGTGTGTGTGCGTGTGTGTGTGTGTGTGTGTGTGTGTGTGGAGGAATGGGGAGGTTGTTGATTGACAGTAACACTTGACCTCAGGACAATATGTTTTGAGGTTTGCGTGGGAAGCATCTGGAGTGTTTCTAGTCCCAGATTGCCAGTTTCTGTTCCCTATCTCCAGTTTTCCTGGATGGCAGGGAGGCCAACCAGGTTCTGACCAGGCTGAGACGGGCCAACAGCTTTCTGGAGGAACTTAAACAAGGCAACATGGAGAGGGAGTGCAACGAGGAGCGCTGCAGCTGGGAGGAAGCACGAGAGATCTTTGAAAATAAGGAGAAAACTGTATGAATCTAAAGACGTTTTCATCAAAATGCAAAGAAAGTCAGTCAGAAAACTTCTAATAATTCTGTATTAAACCATTTTATTCTGTTGGTTTTTCTTCAGGATGCATTCTGGGCCGTATATGTGGGTAAGCTTCCTCTTCATAACCCCAAACCAACTGACTTCTAGGGTTCTGGCATCTAACTGAAGTTACTCTGTCCTTTCTGCAGATGGCGACGCCTGTCTGTCCACACCCTGTGCTAATGGAGGTCGGTGCACGGATACGATTGGGAGCTACAAGTGCTTCTGCATGGAGGGATACAAGGGCTTCAACTGTGAAATCGGTAAAGTAGAAGAGTCAGTCCAGACGGTAAAAATTGGGTGATACAGTAGCAGAACGTTCGTCCATCAGTCTTTAGCTACTATGAAGACTTGATGAGGTTTGAGGAACATTTTGGCAATGTCATTTTGCTTGGTCTTCTCTGCAGATCATGTTATTTTAAAAGCTGTTGCTAATAAACTCAACCCAACCAGGTGTTGAGAAGATGCATACCTTGGACCTGAAAGAGTTCCAAGATCACATGTTCCTGACTCTCACAAATAAACATGGGCGACATTCGGTATTCATTCTGTTCAGAGTTACAGCACCACAGGTTGCCCCAAGATACCCTCTACAGTGTTTTCAGTGGTGCCGCGTACATACTTTCTTAATTGCTGTAGTATCTGTATCTTTTCAGTTATCCCCAAGCTCTGTGATAACGATAACGGCGGCTGTGATCATTTCTGCCATGTTGTCAAAACAAACGTTGAGTGCTCGTGTGCTGATGGATACTTCTTGGGTCAAAATGGAAAGTCCTGTGAATCCAATGGTAAGAAAAGCACATCTGATGATCCAGCTTGAACACAGGAGATCTGGATGAGTGATTGAACAGCATACAACTGCAAGTATCTTTAAATTCAACAATGGGATGTAAAGGTTTGGATTTATTGGGGATTTTATTCCAATTCTTGACGGGGCCAAACATACAGATTCCAAGAAAATGTAAATTCCCAAAAACCATTGGACAAACAGTCCAATTTTTTATTTATTTTTTTATGAGTCCCATGCCAAGAGATCTGCCTGACCAACACCCACAGCCAAGTGAAAGCCCAAGAACCTCAACAGAGATATAAAAAGGATAATTGCACAACCAGACATAATAGGGAAGTTTTCAGAATCCTTTCTAAACAGCAGTAGATCCAAGATCAGGGCAACAACCCAGTAACCACTATGGTTCAAGCCTGGTTTGACCTTCAGCATGATAGTGCCAAGGTGAGGCTTAGGACTCATGAACACCAGTGATGGCACAAGGAGACAGACCTTCAATCTATTTAGCTTTACCTCTAGTCAACACGATGATCTTTAAGATCCAGACACAGTTGAGGTCCACAACGGGACGATGATCCCACACTGGTTCTGGAAGCATTTGGCTTCTGGACTGGCAGGTTGTTGTTTTCATCACTCTACCAGTAAAAAAAACAATGAATGTGATCAGTGGACACAAACGTATGGTGATGGAAATATCTCCGGAAGCAATATAACAAACCAGAGCTTTGGACACCAAAGCATCATCTCAGAACCGGTTTAGATTTCCTGAACTCTAAACATCCAACAAACTCTTGCAGAGCCTTTTAAATGCGGAGCCCTCATCAGCAACAAGGTCCGGCGGTCGCTCGTGGACTCTGGAGATCTGAACATGGAAGAAGTGAAACCCCCCAAGCTGAACACCACTGCAAACTCTATGGAGCAAAGGAACATCCTCAACACTGATGATTCGTTCTGGTCCAGAAACATCAGTAGCCAGCTCCCAGCTCCTATTCCCAATTTGATGAGTTCGGGTTCCATTGACAGGTCGGGGAGTGTTCGGATCGTCGATGGAGAGGACTGTCCACCAGGAGAATGTCCATGGCAGGTAGTCACACAACAAAGTGATGATTTGAATGTTATGTTCTGGTCACAGATTCTGGCAGATCTATACCATTACTGTGTCCTGCTAGGCTCTACTGATCAATGACGACAACATTGGGTTCTGTGGGGGAACGATTCTGACCGAGTACATCATCCTGACCGCGGCTCACTGCATGAACCAATCACGTTACTTCTTCGTCAAAGTTGGTAGGTCCGACTCATCAAACTGGAACTTCCTTTTTACCTTTTCAAATATTTATACTACTTCTTTTACAAACATATTGTAACATCAGAAATCTTTAAATATAGCATACCTGTGGTTTAAGTCTCTAGTTATTGCATTGAAATGTGTTGTTGACCAGGTGAGTGATGCATTATTATGTCCATGTTTCCAGGTGAACACAACACCACTCAACAAACCGATTGGGAAATATCCCATCAGGTGGACACCATTGTTTCCCATTTCAAGTACAGTCCAGAAACCTACAACAACGACATCGCACTCGTAAAACTGTCCAAGCCCATTAGGTTCAACAGATACATCCTGCCGGCCTGCATACCGCAACCAAATTTTGCAGAAAACGTGAGAATAATCAAAGGTTTCTGCTGTGGTAAATCAGGTTTTCTATAAAATGAGAGCAGGATGTAGAAATCAGGGAAGCATTGGAGGATATTTGTATACTTATTGTTTGTTTTGATGATAAGTTTCGCTAAACTAAAACAAAGCTTTAAAGATTTGTGTTGTGTTCTGTTGCAGGTCCTGATGCGGCAGAATGACGGTCTGGTCAGCGGTTTCGGACGTCTTGGTGAGGGTCGAGAAGCATCTACGATCCTACAACGCCTCTCTGTGCCCTACGTGGACCGGCTCACCTGCATTGAATCCACCCAGTTGCGCATTACTATGCGCATGTTTTGCGCCGGCTACGATACAATCGCTAAGGACGCCTGCCAGGGTGACAGCGGCGGCCCGCATGTCACACGTTACCATGACACCTACTTCATCACCGGCATCGTGAGCTGGGGCGAAGGCTGCGCACGCAAAGGGAAATACGGCATCTATACGCAAGTGTCTAAATATATCCACTGGATCAGAGAGGGCATCAAGAAGCTGACGCCCACAGGAGAGATCAGGCAAAGGAGGGACCATGGTGCCATCAAGAGACAGAAGAGAGACCATGGTGCCATCAAGAGGCTGTACCTGTAAGCTAGCTGGGGCAACCCGCTGAGAATGTAATCACTTTGAAATGGCTACGTTTTAGTCAAACAGGTGATCAATTTGTAAAGAGCGACATACCTTATCGAGTGACCACAATACAGATGGAGTTCCTCAGGGTTGATACTCTATGTACCTTCATTTTCTGTTTTGTTTAAGCTTCATTGTTGATTTGAATATTTGGGGTTGCAAAAAGATTTGACATTTAATAAAGAAATAAAGAAATGTGTTAAATTTACTTTTTTCCACTTGAAAAACTGTTCAGAAATAATATATTTTCTTTAACTTGAGCTTTTCTTTAGGGACCAAGTTTCCACCGATAGTGTTTCAGCATCACACAAACGTAAAAACCTGCTATTCTGATGTAAAGGTTTGCTGGGCAGAATTATTAAACACCTAGAAAACACTTACATTATTGTTTGCTTGTATTCTTTAACATCTGTTTTGGTAAATATTAACATGAACTAATCTTCAACAAAATGAGGCCAAACACAATCAACAAATTTAAAGAAAAATGTTAATTTCACATAACATTTAAAGAATATTCACTGAATTTCTTATATATTATATTCAGTTATCCAAGCTTTTGATTGTAAAACAAATATTACAAATAAAAATGACTAAATTAAAAGATAATTAACCTTTTAAATTAACATTTAATTTGCATCGTAGAATGATTTTTTTAGCTCTAATCTACATAATTATTTAAATTGCTTGAATTTAAATCAATTTGGAATTGATTTTGAAAATATTTATAAAGCTTTTAATTAGAAACAAAGAAATTATAATTAAATTTAGATGGATTTCTGTCACATATTTCTATCTTAAGTTAATATAAAGTTAACTTTTGATGCCCAATCTGCTCCCATCAGAACTCGTCCTGCTTTGGGGCTTGGATCAGTGAAAAATCCTGATTTATTGATCTTGAAGTCCCTCTGTGTTTACCTGAAATCAACAACAACCTGAGCGTTGAGGGTTCAGAGGTCGAAGCTGCTGCTTGTTTTGACAGATTTACAGGAACAGAGTCCGTTCCTGTAAGAGCAGAACTTTTTTTTTTTCATACATGTCTTTCCAGAACCAACCTGAGGTCTGTTGACACAACATTTCCAAAGTCACTCAGAGCTCAGCGGTAATAAACACGTAAATAGAGTAATTATGTCACTGTTTTACTTTAGGAAATGGTAACTGATATTTCTCTGGATAATGAGGTCAACAGACTGAGGATGAGTTAAAGTCCAGACATTTATTCACCTCTGTCCACATTAAGTGAGTCCCTGCTGTTCCAGTAGGTGTGTGTTTGCTGAGTGAGAGCAGCTCAGTCAGAGCTCAAGCCGTCAAACATCATGTCTGCGTTTCTGCTCACCATCTGCCTCCTGGGAGGTTCCTTCCTCCAGGTGTTCAGCCAAGATAAAGGTGAGAGATCCACCGTATTAATTAGCCATGATCACTTTGTGATGTTCTGTGTTGGTTAGCCAGCTGCAGTTCACCAGAGCTGGAAAAGCATAAATGTTTCTCTGTGTGTTTGAGTTTCTCCACGTCCAACACTAGAAACATTCACAGATGGGTTCTGGTTCTGGGGTCTGTTTCACAGGGGAAAACTTGTTTATGTGTCACAACAGGATACTGATCAATACCTGAAAACATTTTATCACTGTAGATTACTGGGGTGAATAAAACTTGAATGGTGAACACCGCTAACTAATAGGTTAGCTGTGCTAACCCTAAAATATTAATCATAACCATTAGGCTTGATAATGCTAACGTGCTAAAGAGCTAACTTCAATTCAGATTATGTTTGCCTTTGGAAGTCCACGACTTTAAGTAACCAATTTAATGTTGACATTATAATTTACATGCTGCCCTAAGATATTGTATTTATGTCTACATCTTGTTCTCTTGTATGTTTCTTTTTTGAAATAAATTTAACTGAGAAATTTTTAAGCCGTTACCAAAACTTCAACACAGATTTATTCAACTGAAAGGTAAAAAAAAGAAGTAAAATAGAACTTCAGAATTTATCTGGAAAAATTTAGGGGAAAGCTAAGTTAAGTATGCTAATTGTTTTCACTATTAGCACATTAGCAAAAGTGTGGCCATCCCTGGAAACAGGTGTTGTCCAGTGGGTATCATTGAGGTTAAATGATGTTATCGTAGATGAAAGAACCAATAACTGGAGTTGACGATGTTGCCGTTAGCAGATAATCCAGATCAAGTCTTCAGTTTTCATCTAAATGTCTTCTAAAAACTTGTCAAGATGCTGGTTTTACTGGGATTTCTGCTCCCTGTCTCCCAGAGCTCTGTGACAATGAGAACGGAGGCTGTGAACATTTCTGCCATGTTGCTGGAGGAAGTGTAGTGTGTGCCTGTGCTGACGGTTACTTCCTGGCACAGGACAACCAATCCTGCAACTCCAACGGTAAGAGAAGCTTTCAGACCACCAGCCTTGATCGCAAACACCAAGGAGAGGAAAACCTTTGGTGTTTTCTCCTAAATTCATGAGTTTCTTCAAATGTTGTTGAGTTAGAGCAACACCAGAGTGGTTCTTCTAGTAACTGAACCACCTGATGGTTCCTGTCCTCCAAACTCGCTCAGAGACTTTTAGATGCGGCGCCATCATCACCGATGTCCAGGGACAGAACAGAACCGAGAAGAGAAGCTTCACCGAGGAGCAACATGGCCGCCAGAGGAACAGCAGCAGTCAGATCAGCTCAGACAGGGAAGCACAGACTGGGACCATCAATGGAGAGGACTGTCCACCAGGACAATGTCCCTGGCAGGTAGACACTCAGCAATGGCAGGACAGTTCTAGTCCATGTGTCCACTCCTTCAGGTTGTTCTGTCCCCAAAGGCTCTCCTGATCAACCAGGACAACATCGGATTCTGTGGGGGAACGATTCTGAGTGAATACATCATCCTGACTGCGGCTCAGTGCGTGGCCCAAACCCGGTACCTCACCGTCAAGCTCGGTAGGTTCAACAAGCCAAACGCAGGCTTCCAATCAATTTTTAACGTAAATACAAGAACTGATCTGAATAAAGTGAACAGTTCAAAATATCTTGATTTATTTTGGACTACATATCTTATATAAGTCCAACATTGGTCATCTGCGTCCAGGTGTCTTCAACACGTCCCACAGTGGTGGAAATGAAGCCTTGCATGTGGCGGACGCCATCGTCACTCACCATGGTTACAGCCCACAGACCTACTTCAATGACGTTGCTCTGGTAAAACTGGCCAAGCCCATCAGGTTCACCAGGTACATCCTGCCAGCCTGCATGCCGGAGCCGGACTTCATGGAGAAGGTAAACCTTTTACTGCGTCAGTGACTAAAGATTATTTAGTATTTCCTGAGACGTTAGGAATCCGGTCTTGTTTGTGCAGGTTCTGATGCGGCAGCCGGATGCGCTGGTCAGCGGTTTTGGATATCTCGGTGAGGGTCAGCCGTCCACCGTCCTACAACGCCTCTCTGTGCCCTACGTGGATTGGCAAACCTGCATGGACTCAACTCCGCTCAGCATCTCCTTACGAATGTTTTGCGCCGGCTACGACTCAATGGGGGAAGATTCCTTTCAGGGCGACAGCGGCGGCCCGCATGTCACACGGTATCGGGGCACCTTCTTCATCACTGGCATCAGGAGCTGGGGCAAAGGTCATGCCCGCAAAGGAAAATATGGCGTCTACACGCAAGTGTCTAAATTCATCCGCTGGATCAAAGAGGGTGTCAAGAAGCTGACGCCGATAGAGAAGCGCGGTTCCAGGACGAAGAGGCACCACGGCGCCGTCAAACGTTTCCGTCTGTAGACAGTCATCATCCAGTAACTCTAGTACCTCTGTAATTCAGATACATGGAAGATTTCCACTGTAATAGATCATGCTAATGGAGAGGAGTCCCTCGGGTTTGTTATTTTAGGCTCCTGGACTTTCAGTGTTGTTTTGGTTTTCTTATGGAACCGGATAATAAAAGTAAAACCTTGTTAGTTTGTATCAAATACACCTTACAGTAGCTCCCAGAAGGGATAACTCTATGAAGATTAGCAAATGTCTGTTTTTGAGTATTTTGTGTAATCCAGTGACCAAAATAAAGATTTGAATAATAGAAACAAAAAGTAAGAACACTGTCTTTTGTTTTTTTGGTTTTTTTTACAAATATGATCAATTTATTTGGCCGTTTTGAAAACTTTCAGTTGAATAAAGTTTGACATTTGTGTCAAAGATTTGGTTATTGACTTTTAGGAATTATTCAAGTAGGTAGGAGTCGATAATCAGGATCTTATTTTTAAGAAACGCATCAACTAAATAAAACTCAGAAAACAGGATATAAATACAATCTTAAGTGGGATTATAGGTAAATTATTAGGTCAAAATTAAATTGGTGCTCCAAGGTTGTAGTCTTTCAAGGGCAGATATAATTTGACTTGAAGAAGCACATTAGCTTCAGCTAAATACCGTGTTGGTTTAATGCTTTAGTGTTTGTGAATTTAACATTTATAATTAGTGCTTTAGTGTTATGGTCAGCTAAATTTTTTAGCACTGCCCACCACTGCATAAAAATGTTATTTAGTAAAATTTAGACTTAATCTTGTGATAAAGTATGGTTTATGCTTTTTTTCTGTCCAAGTTTAATTTGGAGTATGTGTTTTTCTATCTTTCAACAGTTTCTGAGCTCTAGCGTCTCTGGATGATATTAAATGATTGATTTCTGGGATGTTTGCCTGGAATAAACAAGCCAGCTCTATCCGGAGCCTCTTTGTGTGATTTAGGGGAACAGAGTCCACCGCCGGAACAGAACCATCCCTGAAAACTGTTTCTGTCCCACTGAACTCTTACAGGAACACAGCAGACATGATTTCCAGGGGTTTTCCACCCCGTTTGGCTGGAATATGAAAGGAAGGGAGAATCGTTGCGTTAGCGTGGATCGTCCAGCTGTTGAGTCCAGCTGAGCTGTGGACGTATGTGTGTATTTGTTGTGTGTGAGCAGTGCTGTCAGTGTAATGGCGGTCCACATCATGTCTGCGTCTCTGATTGCCGTCTGTCTTCTGGGATGTTTCCTTCAGGTGTTCAGTCAAGGTGACGGTAAGAAAATGGATCTATTTAACTTTGGGGTGTTACGAGGGGCGGTTGTTCAAATAATGTGATTATAATTATTTTAAATTGCCAAAAGTGATCATTGTTTATGTCTCTTTACATTTTGAACCTAAAGCCATTGGGATCAGTTGATTGATGATTTAGTTGGGGTTTCTCGCTCTTTCCAGGGTTTCGTGTGGCTCCTGGGGCCCACGCCGTGTTCCTGCGATCCAAACGGGCCAACCAGTTCTTCCTGGAGGAGATCCTGCAGGGGAACCTGGAGAGGGAGTGCTACGAGGAGCTGTGTAACTACGAGGAGGCGCGGGAAGTGTTTGAAAATGATGAGCACACGGTGGGTCCAAGGAAGGAAGGCCGAGTCAGAGACCTTTGACCTTTGATTCTAATCCATCTTTGTTCGTCTACAGAAATCCTTCTGGACCATCTACTACGGTGAGTTCTGATCCAGGACAACATTCATCAAACTTCTTCTTGGACCTCCAGTTTCTAAAGTTCTGAATCTGTTTCGGCGCTCCGAGATGGCGACCAGTGTCTTCCCAACCCTTGCCTCAATGGGGGGAACTGCACGGATAAGGTGGGGGGGTTCTTCTGCGCCTGCAGCCCCCCCAACTATGGACAAACCTGTGAACTGGGCCCAGTTAAAGCTGCAGAGCAGGAGCTGCTGGAGTCTCAGTACAAAGCTCCAGGTAAGGCCGCTGCCAGAGCTGGGGGGCGTCGGTGGGATTCAAACCGTTTCATCCAACAGCGTCTCTCTTAGCGATAGCAGAGTGTCCAACCCAAGGCTCCAACGCATGCCACCAGCTGTGCACGGCAGACTTCCACTCCTACAAATGCTCTTGCATGTCGGGATTCAAACTACAGAGCGACATGCGCAGCTGCCAGCCTGAAGGTAAAAACCCCCAGCAAGGCATGGCTTACCAAACCAGTTCAGACTGGGGGAATCACCGTGTCTCTGTGTCCACAGTCCAGTTTCCCTGTGGGAGGGTCCATGACGCCAACACTTCTTCAATCTGTCGCCATGGAAACTGCCCCTGGCAGGTAAGGAGCTCTCAGCCAATCTGTAAAGCCCAGATTCGTCCAGTAGTAAACTCGGCTCCTGGTGGGTTTGATTCCTGTTTGCAGGTGTCCCTGATCAACAGCAGCCGGGTGGAGCTGTGTGGCGGAGTTGTGCTCGGACGACGGTCCATCCTGACCGCCGCCCGCTGCCTCAACTCAGGAGACGACCTCCAACCCTCACACTACTCCATCGTCACAGGTACTAGAACCTTGATTGCTCCAGTCTGGAAACTTTATCCAGGCCTTGTTTTATTCAAACATTTTTTAAACTATGGCAACAAAAAGAGACGGTTCTGTTAAGCTCAGATTATTCACATTAAACTGAAACAGAGATTAAAGATGACTCTACCTCTGGTGTTTCGTCTCCTAGGTAACGGGAAGGTCTTCCAGGTCCAAGCGATCTTCCTCCACGAACGTTTCCGTTCAGATCGCCACGACTTTGACCTCGTCCTGCTGGAGCTGGCCACGCCCATGAACTTTGGCCCCGCCCTCTCCCACCTCTGCCTGCCAAACAAGGACTTCAGTGAAAACATCCTGATGCATTCTGGGAGGACAGGATTGGTCGACAGGAGGGGGCGTGGCCAGAACCAGGAGCTGGTCTACATGATGCTGGATGAATGTCGAGGAGAGCTGAACGTCTCGCATCCGCTGAGCAACAAAATGTTCTGCATGAGGAGGAGGAACCGCGGCGGGCCGAGGAGAACCGGACCATCAGCGCGTCCTGAAACCGGACCACCAGGAAGGCTAAATGTGACTCAGAAGGCACCGGCTTTGGACCGGAACTGGACTCAAACTGAAAACCTTCCCACCAGGTCGTCTAGCAAAGCAGAAAACTCCAACCGCAGCTTAAAGGAGCTACACCACGTGTCGCCACCAGGTGGCAGCAGGCTGCGGTGTGACGGTCTGCTGCCGGGGTCGGCTGTCGTCACAGTGGAGAAAGACACGGCCTTCCTGACGGGGCTGCTGATGTCTCCGACCGCAGACTGCCGCGGTCAGGTGTTCACCAAGGTGTCCCGCTACCTCAACTGGATCCGGCCGAGGCTGCAGGTGGCGGAGGATCACATGACCCCGCAGGTCAGCGAAGACCCGGAGGTCCGCTGAGCACTCAACGGTTCCGATTCACTTCAACATTAAATTATTGGACGCTTCAGTGGTTTAGATGAAAATTGCCTCATTAATATTGGAAATTTGTTGAGTTTGATTAAACACAGAAATGCATAGATTACACTGGATGATAAATAAATGCTTTCAAAAGTTGGTTTGTTGTCATTTTTTAAGAAAACATCATGATAAAAGATTCCAGAAAATACATTAATATCTAGAAACCAAAAAAAATTTTATTCAACAAGCTTTTTACACAAAGAAATGTATAAAAGATCAGAGTTTCCTCAGAGGGATTGTGGGTAATGTAGTCTAGGAAACAGAAGACAGGGGAGGGAAGGGATTCTGTTTACTGACAACGAGCTTCTGGTGCTGATGGGAGATGTAACCTTTGATGTGACCCTGAAAGGAGACAGAACCAGAGTCAGACCGCTGGGAGTCACCTGGACTCAGGTGTGGCTCCGTGTCTGAGCGCGCTCACCATGTAGATGAGGTTGGCCAGGAGGCACTGCACCTCGTCGATGTCCACGTCCTCCACCTGCATCATCCGCAGGGCCACCAGGAAGGCGTCCAGGGGCAGCTGGTGGGTCTTCAGCAGCAGATACCTGCAGCCAAACACAAACATCCACTGAAACCAGGACCCCTTTCTACATGTCGGACCCAGAAACCCAGGAGCTGCAAACCAGAACCACAACCTGGAAGGACAGAGAAGTCCTCACAACTCAGGCTGAGACCTGGGACAGAACAGAGGTCTGGAGACATGTTGTTTATTGGTCAACATGTTGCCGTTGTTTATTGGTCAACATGTTGCCGTAGCGTCAGACTCACACTTTCTTGAACAGGTTCCTGTAGGTGATGATCTTGAGTTTCTCCAGGATGAGGAAGATCCCGCAGCGGATGAAGAAGGTCTCGTGTTTGGACAGCGCCTCGTTCAGCAGCAGCAGGTTCCCCTCACTGGGGAACACACCGAGGTCACGTGACTCTGAGTGACATCACTTCCTGCTGCGGTGGCCCCGCCTCCCTGCTTACCTCACAGCCTTGGTGACGTCAGCGAACTGAATGAGGTCGTACTTCCTGAGCAGCTGGTGAGTCGGCATGTGACCCTGAAACAACCAGAACCAGAACCGGGTTAGCTCCGGTTATTGGACTCGTAGTGAATCAGAACCGGTTCTGATCCGGGATGAGCCAGTGGAGCTCCTGACCAGCAGCATCTTGACCGGCAGCAGGTAGATGAGGATCATCCTCTTGTTCTTCTGGCTGGAGCGGTGGCAGCGGTCGAAGGCGAACGACAGCAGCTCCTCAGCTGGACACAAACAGGTCAGCGTTTCTCCTGCAGAACCTCCAGAACCTCCAGAACCCGGCCAGACTTACCCGTCTTGAAGTCGCTGTCGAACATGGCCTTGCGGCCCACATAGTATTTGTAGGTGACCTTCTGGGCTGGGCTGTATTCGTTCTTCAGGTTGGAGCTGTCGATGGCTCGAATCAGAGGTTTGCACAGGTGGAGCTTGTTGATCTGCAGGACAACCAATCAGACGTCAGCCTGACCTGTTCTGACCCAAACCTCCCGGTTCTGACCCAGCTCAGCACCTTGAAGTAGATCTTGAAGAGCTGGTTGCTCAGGAACATCATCCCCCACTTCTTGGAGTCATCGATGCCGGCTCGGCTGTAGCGGGTCAGAACAGAACACGTGAACACGGCAAAACCAGAACCACAGAGCGGGTCCAAACGGAGCAGGACTGACTTGTCGCTGGCGCAGACTCTGAAGCAGCTCATCAGCTGCTCCGCCGCCTTCTCCAGCATCTCACCCGGTTGACCTTTGCCCTTCTTCTGCAGCTGCTGCTCTGCCTGGAGACACAGAG